ACTATACCCTATAACAAATGGACTTAATAGATATTTACAGAACATTCTACCCAACAATTGCAGAATATACATTTTATTCAGAAGGACATGGAACATTCTCCAAGATAGACTATATGACAGGCCACAAAACAAGTCTCACTAAATTTAAGAAAATTAAAATTATGTCAAGTACTCTCTCAGACTACAGTGGAATAAAATTGGAAATAAACTCAAAAAGCAACCCTCAAAACTATGCAAATACATGGAAATTTAAAAACCTGCTCCTGAATGATCATTGGGTCAACAATAAAATCAAAATGGAAACTGAAAACAATCCTTTGAACTGAGTAGTAGTGACAAAACCTATCAAAACCTCTGAGATACAGCAAAAGCAGTGCTAAGAGGAAAGTTTATAGCATTTAATGCCTACATCAAAAAGTCTGAAAGAGCACAAATAGACAACCTAAGGTCACACCTCACAAGACTGAAAAAACAAGAACAATCCAAACCCAAACCCAGCAGAAGAAAGGAAATAACAAAGATCAGAGCAGAACTAAATGCAATGGAAACAACAATACCACCAAAAAACAATACAAAAGACAAAACACAAAGCTGGTTCCTTGAAAATATAAATGAAATTGATAGATCATTAGCGAGATTAGACAAGAAACGGAGAGAAGATCCAAACAAGTCAATTAGAAACAAAACAGGAGTTATTACAGCTGATACCACAGAAATACAAAAGATTATTTAAGGCTACTATGAACACCTTTATATGCATAAACTAGAAAACCTAGAGGAAATGGATAAATTCCTGAAAATATACAACCCTCCTAGATTAAACCAGGAAGATGTAGAATCTCTGAACAGATCAGTATCAAGCAGTGACATTGAAATAGTAATTTTTAAAATTGCTGACCAAAAAAAAGTCCAGGAGCAGACAGATTCACAGCTGAATTCTATCAGACATTCAAAGAGAACTGGTACCAATCCTATTGAAACTATTCCAAAAGACAGAGAAAAAGGGAATCTTCCTTCTATGAAGACAGTATCACCCTAATACCAAAACCAGGGAAGGACATAGCAAAGGAAGAAAACTCTAGACTAATGTCCTTGATGAACATAGATGCAAAAATTCTCAACAAAATACTAGTGAACCAAATCCAACAGCATATAAAAAAGATAATCCACCATGCTCAAGTGGGTTTCATAATAGGGATGCAGGGATGGTTCAACATATATAAGTCAATAAATATGATACACCACATAAGTAGAATTAAAAACAAAAATCACATGATTATCTCAATAGATACAGAAAAAGCATTTGACAAAATCCAGCATCCCTTTATGATTAAAACCCTCAGCAAAATTGGCATAGAAGGGACAAAACTTAATGTAATAAAAGCCATCTATGACAAATCCACAGCCAACATGATACTGAATGGGAAAAAGTTGAAAGCTTTCCCCTTGAGAACTGCAAGACAAAGATGCCCACTTTCACCACTTTGACATAGTGATGGAAGTCCTAGCCAGAGCAATCATGCAAGAGTAAGAAATAAAGGGCATCCAAATTGGAAAAGAGGAAGTCAAACTGTTGCTGGTTGCTGATGACATGATCGTATACCTAGAAAACCCTAAAGACTCCAAAAGCTCCTAGTACTGATAAATGAATTCAGCAAACTTTTAGGATACAAAACTAAGGTGCACAAATCAGTAGCTCTACTCTACACAAACAGCAACCAAACTAAGAATCTAATCAAGAACTCAACCCCTCTCACAATAGCTGCAAAAAAAAAAAAAAAAAAAAAAAAAAAAAAAGGAATATACCTAACTAAGGACATGAAAGACCTCTACAAAGAAAACTATAAAATGCTGCTGAAGGAAATCACAGATGACACAAACAAGTGGAAACACATCCCACACTCATGGATGGGTAGAATCAATATTGTGAAAATGACCATTCTGCCAAAAGCAATCTACAAATTCAAGCAATTCTCATCAAAATACCACCATCATTCTTCACAGAACAACTACCAGAAAAAAAATCCTAAAATTAATATGGAACCAAAAAAGAGCCCAAATAGCCAAAGCAAGACTAAGCAAAAAGAACAAATCTGGAGGCATCACATTACCTGACTTCAAACTACACAATAAGGCCATAGTCAGCAAAGCAGCATGGTACTGGTATAAAAATAGGTACATAGACCAATAGAACAGAATAGAGAAGGTAAAAATAAAGCCAAATGCTTACAGCCAACTGATCTTCAATAAAGCAAACAAAAACATAAAATGGGGAGAGGACAGCCTATTCAATATGGCTAGCCATATGTAGAATAATCAAACTGGATCCTCATCCTTCACCTTATACAAAAATCAACTCAAGATGAATCAAGACTTAAATTTAAAGTCTGAAAAAATAATGATTCTAGAAAATAACACCTGAAAAACCCTCTAGACATTGGCTTAAGCAAAGACTTCACAACTAAGAATCCAAAAGCAAATGCAACAAAAACAAATAGATGGGACTTCATTAAACTAAAAAGCTTCTGACTGAAAAAGAAATAATCAGTGGAATTAACAGACAACTCATAGAGTGGAAGAATATTTTCACAATCTGTACATCTGACAAAGGATGAATATCCAGAATCTACAAAGAACTCAAACAAATCAGCAAGAAAGAAACAAACAATCCCATCAAAAAGTAGGCTAAGAATGGGAATAGACAGTTCTCAAAAGAAGATACACAAATGGCCAATAAGCATATGAAAAAGTGCTCAACATCGCTAAGTATATAGGGAATGCAAATCAAAACCACAATGTGATACCACCTCACTTCTGCAAGAATGGACATAATCAAAAAATAAAAAAATAACAGATGTTGGCATGGATGCAGTGAAAAGGGAACACTTTTATATGTTGGTGGGAATGTAAAGTAGTACAACCACTATGGAGAACACTGTAGATTCCTTAAAGAACTATAAAAGTAGATTTACTGTTTGATTCAGCGATCTCTCTTCCAGGTATCTACCCAGAGGAAAAGGAAAAGAAGTCATTATATGAAAAAGATACTTGCAGACACGTTTATAGCAGCACAATTTATAATTGCAAAAATATGGAACCAGCCCAAATGCCCATAAGTCAACAAGTGGATAAAGAAATTGTCAGATATATATATATATATATACACACACACACACACACACACACACACACACACACATATATATATACACATATATACACATATATATGTATACATATACACATACATGGTGTGTGTGCATATATATGTGTATACACACACACACACACACCCATGGAATGTGACTCAGCCATAATAAGAAACAAAATAATGGCATTCACAGCAACCTGGATGTTACTGGGGACTATTATTCTAAATGAAGTAACTCAGGACAGCCTGGTCGAGATGGTGAAACCCGTCTCCACTAGAAATACAAAAATTATCCGGGCGTGGTGGCAGGCACCTGTAATCTCAGCTCCTTGGGAGGCTGAGGCAGAAAACTGCTTGAACCCAGGGAGCGGAGATTTCAGTGAGCCAAGATCGCACCACTGCACTCCAGCCTGGGCAACAGAACAAGACTCCATCTCAAAAAAAAAAAAGGAAGTTAACTCAGGAATGGAAAACCAAATATCATATGTTCTTACTCATTAGTGGGAGCTAAGGTATGAGGACACAAAGGCATAAGAATGACACAATAGACCTTGGAGACTCAGCAGGGAAAGGTAGGGGAGATAAGGGATAAAAGACTACATTCTAATATTTATATAATATTATTTATATATTATAATTTATATCTAATATTATGTATCTGGTTAGCACACAGATACATAATATTAGATATAAAAGAGCAAACAGAAATAATACTTAAAATCTGTTCATAATTATCTAATTTTTAAAAAACAAAAAACAATTATGTATGCCTATAACATATTAATGTATAAATAATATATATGCATATTATCTAAGGGCATTATATATGCATATAAAATAAACTGAAATAATGCAGTCAGCCCCCAGTATCCATGGAAGATTGGTTCCAGAATGCCCTCCATACTAAAATCCACAGATGCTCAAGTTCCTTATATAAAATGGCATAGTTCTTCCATATGACCTGTGCACATCCTCCCATGTACTTCATCATTACTAGATTACTTCTAATACCTAATACAATATCTACATGTCACTTCAATCACATGGATTTAGCATAGTACTCTGCACGTGTAAATTCAAGTTTTACTTTTTGGAACACTGTCAAATTTTCCCAAATATTTTCTATCCATGGTTGGTTGAATCTGTGGAGGCAGAACCTACGAATACAAGTGTTTACAGAGAGCTGACTATATACACTCAATTAATTATAGTGGATTTCTCCAGGGAAGAAAGAATAATGTGATTAGACATGAATAACAAAGTAAAGTAAAATTTCACTTTAATATTTTAGTTTATATAAACAGCGTTAACAATTATTGTGTCTTCGAGATAGGTACCTAGGTGTTTGTAATAATTCCCTTTATTCTTTTACAAATTTTGTATTTTCTTCAAAAGCTAAAAGAAAAAATACAACCTATCTTGTACAAGAATTGGAGACAGCCTTTGTTCTTCACAACTGCCAGTTGCAAATAATTGCTATAACTGAATAATAAGACACTATTTATAGAACGTGAAGAAACACAGGCATGGTTAACTGGAGTCCCTGCTCTAAAGAAACTGATCAGTCGTGGAATTTTTCTCTTAGGCTTATCTATCCTTCCAAAGCACGGTACATGCTTGCCATTACTACATTTATACAGGGCACTTTTAAATGATTATTCTGGCATTGCTTGAAGGATGAATCAAGTGGTAACATCTCTTTCTCATTCTGAATCTCTGACCCGATGGTATGGCTAATTTTGATATAGCTCTTTTAAAAAGTGAAATGTTTCTGTCATATTTAAGATGAGAATGTACCTTCCTACTGAGAGAGTGACTTTCAAAAGGGATGGTGTGGCGGCCTCCTTACCTGCTCTTTCATTTCAGCATAGACTTTCTCTGAGTTCAGTTCCACCTGCCGCTTAAACTCTTCCAAAGCAGCATCTGCCTGCTGGGCCTGCAACCTCTGAACTTCAGTCACACGAGTTAGCTGCTCCTCTTTTTCCCTAGAAAGGTTCGGAGAAGCTTCCTTCAGAGTTAAAATATAAAAACTAGGCTGGAATGAAAGAACAATATTTAACCTCCACTAAAATAAAATCCAGATTTTAATTTTTTTGATCCAAATCCTACAAAACTTCCCTTTAGACACTTGACAATAATCTAATTAGTCTCCAGAGGAAAAGGGTATAAACATGTATTGTGTATTCTGATGAAAGCAAAACGACTTTCAAAGATTTCCCTAAAAACAAAACTGAGTAAAACCATGTGTCTCCATCAAGTGATGAATGGATAAACAAAATGAAGAATATTAGTCATCCTTAAAAAGGAACGAAGAAGTTCTGATACCTGCTACAACATGGATGAACCTTAAAAACATCCAGCTAAGTGAAAAAAGCCAGTCACAAAAAGTTACATATTGTATGATTCCATTTATATGAAATTTCCAGAACAGGTAAATCTATAGAGACAGAAAGTACATTAGTTGTTGCTGGGGTCTGAGAGGCTGGGGAATTAGGGAGTGATTGCCAATAGATATGAAGTGATGAAAATATGAAAATGTTCTGGAGTTAGACAGTGGTGATGGTTGCACATCCTTGTGAATATACTAATATCCACGAAGTTGTACACTTTATCGGTTATACACCCATAAAGGGGTGAATTTTATGGTATGTGAATTATATCTCATTTAAAAAAAAAATGCACTAATACAAAGATGTATGTCTACCAGAAGTTAATCTTCAGGGAAGTCAATGCAACAGAGAAATATGATGGCCTAAAACTGTTTTGCTGCCTTCTAGAAGACTTGCCTAAAAGAACTGATAACCATCACATTTATTCATACCTTAAGTGGAAACTACATAGCTGAAAGGGTCTAACAAAACAAAAGCAATCTTTGCATGTTGATAGAAGCAAAAAATAAAGGATTAGGTTTATAAATACATGAAAGTTAACAATAGCTAACTTTGAGTTCTAACTAGATGCCAGGCACTGTGCAATGGAATTTTATATGGTTTGGCTCTGTGTCCCCACCCAAATCTAATCTTGCAGCTCCCATAATCCCCATGTGTTTCGGGAGGGACCCGGTGGGAGACAACTGAGTCATGGGGATGGGTCTTCCCTATGCTGTTCTGGTGACAGTGAACAAGTCTCATGAGATCTGATGGTTTTAACAAGAGGAGCTCCCCTGCACAAGCTCTCTTTTTGCCTGCCACCATCCATGTAAGATGTGACTTGCTCCTCCTTGCCTTTGGCCATGATTATGAGGCCTCCCCAGCCACGTGGTACTGTAAGTCCATTAAACCTCTTTCTTTTGAAAATGCCCAGTCTTGGGTATATCTTTATCAGCAGCATGAAAATGGACTAATACAGAATTTTATGTCTTCTCTCGTTTATTCTCACAGTAAACAAGTATAAGAGTGTTATTATATCCTTACTTATACAGAACAGGAAACTAGGGCTTAGAGAATACTTCCACCTAGAGTAACAGGTCAAGCCAGGATTCCAGTCCTGACAGTCTGCTTCTAAAGTTCCTGCTGTTGGCTGCTATGTCACCCTGCTTTCCTGATTTTCCAGATGCCATAGGTAAGATTAACTTGGCTCACCTTCCCTAAATGGGAAAGCTTACACAAATATAAAATATGTTCTTACTATTAGCTGTAACACTAAAGAATGTTGGGGGCAGGGGTAATTTAATTCACTCAAACCAAATTTTAGAGAAATATCATAAAGGGGAGAAAAGACACTTCCAAAACAAGATGATACAATATTTCAAGACTTGAGCAAAAAGTAATTTGAGTTTTTTCAGGTTACTCATCTGAGTTTAAAATCCCCTCTAAGACACAATAATTTATAGGCTTTTCAATAAGAACACATATATCATATAAAATATCAAAATACCAAACTTTCTTACCCCCAAGCAAATTGAAAACCTCTTTGAAAGCTTAAGTGGCCAAAAGACTGATATGAAAAAGTGTCACCTAATTTCCACTTCAGCAAGAGATTCTCTTGTTCCTTTATAATGAGGTTATCATATAGATATAGATACAGATATAGATATGTGTGTGTATATGTGTATGGTTTTTTCTACGTGTGTGTTCTCTTGTCGCACCCGTATCCCAATCCCCTCCCCTGTATTTGGGATCTGCAAATAGGCAAGTTTTTGTTGACAGGCTGGAGAAACCTACCCTGTATCTTTTTGTTTCATTTTAAGCACCACCTTGTGTCTATTTATCTCTTCATATCCCATCCATCCATCTACCTGAAGGTAACAATAGTCACTGCAATCCCATGATAAACAAAGCAGTTTTTCCACTAAATCCCTGTTCCTTTATGTGTCTGTTTTACAGATGTAGCCACAATTTTTATGACCTACAGAGTTTAACAGTGCTCCAGGGTGTGTGATGCCCTGCACAAGAGTTAAGCCATTCTAGGTCAGGATGCATGCCACATGTGGCTCTCAGTTTCTGTATTTTGCAGCAGTGGGGTACAGGATTCTGAAAGTTTTTAAAAGCTGTTCTTCAACTTGCCTGCTTGAATGAACCTGAATGTTTTGTTGTTCACCATGTTTCTTACACGTTGTTAAAGCAAAATGGGCTTAATGTTAACTGGTTGTTAAGTTCTAAGGTCTTCACATGAGTGAGGTTTTTTTTTTTGCCACCTAATGTGAATATTAGCTTAAAGATAATGGTGATTAATAACCGGTTATCATACTGAAGGCTGATTTCGGGGGCATCACTATATGAAAGACTGAGCACTTGGATGGCTATCGAGAATTTTAAATTGTTCTGGTGCATTTTCACTCTTCCTATATTAATTTGCACTGGAACAGGGGATTTAAGTTAGATGTAGCGTTTTCCGGGTACAAACATTGAATAATTTGAATATCCAAATATCTAAATACTAAGCATACGGGAACAACATCAAGTCATATAAGTTGTTATTGGGTACCATGGTCTAGATCTGGGTTGGTAAATAGATGTTCTCTGGTGTGATGATCCCAACTGACTGGAAGGGGTTGCCTGGAATGCTCTGTTGAAAGGATTCTGAGAGCAGGCTCAGAGGGCCAGGGTGCTGTGGTTGATGAACAGTGGCACTGTTTACCAGGCACTGGGGTTAGGCAGTGCAATGACTGCATCAGAGATTATAGTAACTAATTTATCTTATGTTCCTCTTTAATTTTTGAGGTGCTTCCAAAAGCACTTGAGAGGAGTACTTTAAAATTAAAATTTATCACAGGTTTACCTTTGGTCAGTTTGTATATAAGCACAAAAGAAAGTACACTGAACATGATTTAAAAACTTTAAGATTGTATATATCATTTACTTTTTAATTATGGAACATTAGCCAAAAGAAAGAACGATAACACAGTCTATAAAAATATATGACCTATAGCTGAAATACCAACTTTGTCCTATCCATGTTGTAAGTCAGTTGTTTATACTTTTTATGCAATAATTCACATGAACTATTTAGTTAAACACTTTTAATTTAATAGGACAAATCTTTTTCTCTATAACATGTTATTCTTACCTACTAAGCTTAGTGCATTTACTTTATAACTAATTTATGATTACATAATCAAAGTCATAAACCTTAGCTATCCATCAAGTATACATTAGAGGCCATTTTAAAATGTGAAAACTTTGCACAGTAAGGCATACTGCTTTTAATTGATCATTTCTATCCTGATTTACAAATAGAAAATCTTGTTTTACACTCAATTGCAAGCACAGGGGAATATGTAAAATCTAGTTTCCAGTCCTGCCACACTGGCTGAACTAATCTAATAGTACAGGAATGCTAAATATCAAAGGTGGCCTTATTCAACATAATTCAATGTTCCTGTCCAGTAAAACCACAATGAATACATTGAACTCCACTAATATTTAGAAACCTTCTGCCTTTTTTTTTTTTTTTTGAGACAGGGCGTGGCTCTGACATGCAGGCTGGAGTGCAGTGGCACAATCAGGACTCACTTCAGCCTCGAACTCCTGGACTCAGGTGATCCTCCCACCTCAGCCTCTGCATAGCTGGGAATATAGGTGCAAGCCACCACACCTGGCTACTGTTTTTTTTTTTTTTTTTTGTAGAAATGAAGTTTTCCCAAGTACAGGCTGGTCTCAAACTCCTGGACTCAAGCATTCCACCCACCTTGGCCTCCCAAAGAGCAAGGATTACAGGCATAAGCTGGTCCTTCTGTCTTAATATAAATTAAATCTGTCAATTCAAATAAAGAGGTGATAAATCATTTTAAGGAGGGATCCATTTTAATTTCTGCATGGTAATGAAGCAGAAGTGAAAATGCTGAGCCTTTGAAACAGACAAGGGTCTGCTCCTATCACAGGAACAGCGTTCCTTTTTACCATGACCCCAATAGTGCATCCTACAAGAAGCAGGAAAAAAGGACTTTGAAGATTTTTTTCTTCCAGTGGAACCGGTTGTGGGGCCAAGTAGAAATGCATCACTCAAATGCCTTAAAGCTGGGCCTCCATGAAGATAAAAAGGTGGAAAGAAAATTTGCTTTTTAGCTCTGATTTATTTATAAAGTGCAGTAAATTTTCCTCATCTGAGTATATAAAGGATAAAGAGAAAAGAAGCTACATTCTTAAACAACCACAAGCCAGCTCAGATTAAAGGATGTTCTGAAGTACATGATTATTCCAAAAAGGGCAATAAAATGTAGGGAACTAATGGATGACAGTTTAGTATTTTTGAGCTTTACAAGCTAAAATTTATATATACAGGTAAACCTTAATTTGAAAATCTTCCCTTTGCACATTTCTGTTCCAGTACTTTTGATAAAGATGGCTGCAATCCAACATGTATTTATAAGGCTTCACATTACAGTATACTTCATTTGCTGCCAGCTTGGCATCTCCCCTGGAAACTCCAAGAAAAACAACACAAAATAAGAAACTTCAAACAAGCCTGAAAAACAGCTAGAAGAGTCCCCATGCCCTTTCCAGCTGGGCTGGAAAACAAGACTTACAAGCAGCAATATACCTAT